AGTAAACACGCAAACAATCCCCTGCATACACACACACACACACACACACACACACACACACACACACACACACACACAACCACAGCCCTGTGCAGTGCACATCGTCAATAAAGGGTTGTACAGTAGGCTATAAAAGATGAAGGACAAAAGAGACTATTTGCATTGCAAATGAAACCACAGAAACCTCAGGTCGGTATTTTCCCTTTCATATTGAAACTGTGTTGTCATCCTATCCAGGGCTCAACGACTGGGTTCGTTTCTGTGTTGTTTCTTTCACTCACATTGTTCTGTCATTTTGCTCAACATTTAGGCAGTGATTGCCTTTGCGTGGACAATGGACTGTGGTCACATGGGGCCAATTAGATTAGTGTGAGGAAGGTTCACTATGGTCCAACTGAAATCACATTTAGTTATCTCTTTACTGTCAAAAATACAGTCAAAGTGATATTTTTCTTTTTTGGTATAGTGTTTTTTATCATCAAGGAAGAAAAAGGTCTTTCGGAAAATAACAGAAAATGCTCTTTTTCAGCAAAGCCCCCTGGAGGATCATTTCAATGTCGAAGCCCTGGCAGTGGGAAGAAAGACAAAATAAACAAGCTCACACAGAAAAACTGGCTAAATCATTGGTATACGATGTGTGGTAATGAATGGTAAGGCAGCAGTTTGGTTATTACTATTCTGAATGGTCATAGTAATGAGAGGGTCTCAGGAGGATAAATATTTTGGTATTTTTCTGTGATTCAAAAGTTATATTTAAATTTGACACTGACACACTTGTCAACGAGCTACGACAATTTTTTTTTTTATATTTGCACAGAAATAGAGTAAATATTCCTGTGCTCAGTAGTAGTGCATAATTGAAGCCATTTTCTTATCTGTTTTGGATTACCGTGATGTTCTCTATAGACACACCTCTGCCTCTTAAACCCCAGACTCTGTTTATCACTTTGCCCTAGGATGTATTACCGGTAACCATTACTCTACTCATCGTTGCATCTTGCGTGAAAAGGTTGAGCAGCCATCCCTAACAATAAGATGTGATAGGCATTGGTTTCTTTTGTTCACAGAGCCCTAAATGGCAACATGCCTTCATTTATCACTTCTTTATTAAACTGGTCCCGTAGTCATTATACAACTCGTTCAAGTGGCTAATGCTTGAAGTCCCACATGCAAGCACTGAGTTTGGGGAAACTGACTTGAGTTGTTGTGCTGTAGACACTTGGAACAATTAAAAACACACATTCAGAGTTACCACGCTTGAACCTGTAGGTCAATTTAAAACCATAATTATAAACTACTCTGCTTTAAGTTTTAGGTTTAAGTTTAAGTTTATTTACTTTTATTAATCCCCCTGAGGAGAAATTCAATGTTTTCACTCTTGCTTGTCAATTACACACAGGTCTGAAAGACACACACATGCACAAACAGGACCTATACATGCACAATGTGGAGAGATGTCAGAGTGAGGGGGCTGCCCTTGGTGAGGCGCCCCGAGCGGTTGGGGGGTTTGGTGCCTTGCTCAAGGGCACCTCGGCAGTGCCCAGGAGGTGAACTGGCACCTCTCCAGCCACCAGTCCACGCTCCATATTTTGGTCCGGACAGGGACTCGAACAGACGACCCTCCAGTTCCCAACCCAAGTCCCTAAGTGTCTGTGTTCTGTTTTGTTTATTTGTTTTCTAGTGTTTTTCTGTGTTTTATTTTGTTTAAATTATACTGTCAACATTGCAAATGAGGGCATACCCTCAATGATTCCTCAAGATTGTTTGTTTCGTTTTGTCTATACTCCCGTTTCCATCTACCCTCATGTATGTATTGTCACTTCCTTGATTTTTTTGCACTGACCTTTGCATCAACAGAAAAAAATTATCCCTCGAAATGTAAATAAAGATTGAATGAATGATCAGACTAAAATGACATGAAGTAGCTAATCAAGCTAATTAACTTACTAGGTTGCACACTGAAGTTAGAAATGCACTTTCCCTGATGGGTGTTAGTTTGGTTGCTAGTTCAGCATACCAAGACAAGCCACCAGATGAGTATTCGTGTTTGTGAGTTAGATGAGTAGCTTTAGCAGAAAAACTAACATGTTCAAAGTCTGTAGCAGACTGCTGTCTGGTTGTTGGTCAGAGTGACTGTCTCCCTATGAGTCAGCGCTGACCTCACTGCTCAATGCAAAGATTTCCTTTGCTGTACGAAACATTTTTGGCTAATTGCAAAGTGGGAGGGCTGCTGGTTCCTGGAAATGTTTTCCTTCTTTCTGTATTGAATACAGAGCATAGCCTACAGAATATTCAGAATACAGGGCACTTCCTTTCCAGCTTGGTCTTCAAACAGTCTCCTTATTGTTACTTTTCACAGAAACATAGGACTCTCACAGATAATGGAACAGCCCTATAGGATTATGCTATGTACACCAGTTTTAATTATTTCACCTCCGTTTCTGAGAAATCGTGTTTTTTCCCATCATTTTGACATGCTGGAGAAGTCAAAACACAGCAACACCAATGAGCCTCAGCTGCCGTTGCCCTGGAGAAGAGGTCGTTTAAAGGTGTGAATCAGAGCACATTAAAACACTGTCTTTACAGTTGAGAAATAACACAGTGCCATAGTTGGGCAATTCATACCAGGATTTAAACATGACTTGATTTAAGGTGCAGTAATGTAATTTCAGTGTTGTCAATCTCATCCTTAGCTTTCACTTGCCATTAGTGCTACACGCTGCATCTCTAGGGAGTTGTAGTTATTATCTTCCTTGAAAGTTTTTATATACAACAACTCGTTCCTTTGGTTTTTCATCAAAGAACCAGATATTTTTAAAAGCAGTTCTAAATTTTATGTACTGATGATTTATTGGGAAGAGTTTCACACTGATTCACACTGTAAAAGAGCTCCAACTTCGAGTCATGTGACTTTATCTATGGGGAAAATGAATTGGACTTACTTGTAGAACTTCTGGAAGCAGGGGTGCCCGAAATAACCTCACCTACTTTACCATGTATGGCTCTCTGACTGGTAGGTGCAAAGACACAGGGTGCTATCCTGACACAAAAAGATGTAAACCTTTCTTTCTTTTGGGTACTGTAATTGTCTCAAAGATGAGCATGGACATAAACTTACAGAGCATATATGTATGCTGTAGCAGGAAAAAAGTCTTTAAGCAAGTGATTAATATCCCCGGATCAATCATACTAAATACAGCGTTTACTGGGTGAAGAATGGAGGCTTTACAATAAACGTGATATCAGTGAGGAGTTCCCTGCTGAGAGTGAAAAAAAGAGAAATGTATGAGAAGAAAAGCAGCAGGGGCTAATCACCAATGACGCACATTATACACTCTAGTTTCTCCCACTTTGTGTGTGTGTGTGTGTGTGTGTGTGTGTGTGTGTGTGTTTCAGTTGAAATAGTTTTGCCAGATCAGAGGCAAACTGTTATAGGGCAAGTGAATTGAGTTACTTGCTGTAGTCTGTATAGAAGTTACGCATGATCATTTGCTTGGATAACAGTACCTTTCTGTACTCATGTTTGAACCTTGCAGTATGATTACCATCAATATAAGATAGACTTTACCCAATAGAATGATGCCTAAACTATTAAGACTAGCTGATAATGGGTGCCCTGGCAGCTGACGGGTTAGAGCACACACGATTAAGGCTGAGTCCCGGGCAGCGTCGATGGTTTGAGTCTGGCCCAGGACCCTTTGCTGCAGGTCTACCCCTCTCTCTCTCCTTTTGTGTCATTCTCACCATCACAATAAAGCATCAAAATGCCCAAAAATCCTTTTTTTACCTTTTAAAAAAAGAAACTAGTAGATATAACTTGCCGTGGCTTTTGTGCTGAAAAAGTGAATCTCAAAGACCTTTTATGGTTGTTTTCCTTTGTCACCTTCTCAGTCGGCAGATTAGCCCTATGTGCAGGTAAATGGCTTTCCCTCTGACCCGACTTGTGATTATTTTGGGAGATCGGGATGCATCACTGAACAGTGCCGCACTGCTTGTGAAGCTGTAATTGTATCTCCGGGTAGTAGGTTGTGAAAGACATAAACAGAGCCAGACTGAGGGCAAAATTAAATTTACAGGATGTAAGGCAAAATGTGGTTCATTGAAATGTATGTTAAATGATATAAATTGAAGTAAATTACATCAAGTAGTTTTTATTTTAATTTCAGTGTGTCTAACAAAGCATAAGCATGTTTTGTGGACATTTTTTGTAGTGCTATGTGTATGTGTGTGTGTTTGTTGTCCCTCCTCGGCTCGTGTCCAGGTATGCAGACAGTCAGCAGCCTGTCCTCCCCGCGAGGTCATCACCTCCATGTTAGCAGCCAGGATTCCAGCTTCCTGTTCATGGTGTCAGTGACAGACATTATTATCATCACCATCCAAGCAGAGGGGGCCTAACTGTATCAAAGATCTGAAAGTGAAGAAGAGAGGGGGGGGATCTCTCGCTGTATTATACAGTAACAACCACGTCTTTGTTGACAGCAGCAGGAGGGTGGAAGATGAAATTAGATTATGCTATTGTGCTCTCAAGAGCAAAAATAACATTTCAGATTGGCTTTTTCTGCATGAACAACACAACTACTCTGCCAAAACCATGTCATCTCTTATTTCTTCAGTTTTACCATCCCTTTGTCTCAGTTGCTCTTGCTTTACTATTTTATCTTTGTTGCTTCTCTCTCCCGTCCTTATTTAACATATTGGCTGAATGAATTAAAGTGAATCTTCGTATTCCTTATAGTACCTACCGCTCTGCCATTGGACTTGGGAATCACTCCAAACGTGTAGCTTATTTTAACATTTTCTCAACATTTCAAAATGCAGACATTACCACTTGCTGTGTGTGTTTTTAATGCATCCTCTATGGGGTTCAGGGTAAATGGCTAACAACATGTTAACAAGTACAACACAGGAGAACACTTCACAGTGCGGCTTGGCAAGACATAAAATGTAAAGGATTGCTGTTTCAAAGTTTAACAGTATGGTTTTTCATCTTTGTGTTTTAGGATATCCTGGGTGTTGGCCAGACACTGCCATTCAGATCTAAGAGATCCCTGCTGGTCCCTCCTATGATTGTAACTGAGAACCAGAGAGCTCCCTTCCCCAGGATCATTGGCAGGGTAAGAAACACACGGTCCTATCATAAACTCAGGTGGGCTTGATTTCCCAACAGCATCCAAGTCTTGCACTGGTACTATTTCATGACAAGGAAAAACAATGTTCTGCCTGGAGAAAGAAAATTGCCCAGGTACAGGACCACAGATTCTATATGTGCATTATTTAGAGGTTTGGAAAATATTATTTTTATGGTCTGTGACAGTTTGGTCATTTTTGTGAATTTTTGCCATGGTCCTTCAACAGAAAGATACGGCATTCTACTTCTCTGCATCTGTTACACGGCTCCACAGTCAATTTATGGCAAATATAAAGATGGTGACTGCAGCTATACAGAGAAATATTAAGAAAAAGTGAAAAGAGAAGTTCTGTGATTATGATTTCACGTCAAATAGCAGACAAGCATCAAGTGGGTCTGTAAAGTCATTGCCAACCACTGTTATGTCACAAGATGCTTTACAAAGTTCTTTGTATATTTCATATTTCATATATTTCATTGATCTAGTGTCAACAAAGTCTATTTGCATTGATTTTTTCTGCAGAAAAAAAAATACATTCCAGATGTACTGTATTCGTATTCAGATATCCCATCAAATGCATTCTGGCAAGCTTATTAGCATTTTACTTAAAGTGCAGCTTGCAGGTTAAATTTTTTTTAAAAATATACATAACCTTGTCTGAAAATTACCGTATGAGAAGTTAATTCAGAATGTATTATGGTTTACATGACATAAGGGCACAAATTCAGAGGAAAAAGTGGCTCTTCACGAGAGGGACTCTGCGTCTTTGACCCTGCCTCTGTCCAATGCGCAGTAGTAGGTGGTAGTGAGTCTGAGCGGTAGTAAACTTGTGAGTTAGTATTTTTTTCGGTTGTTAACAGTGCATTTCCCCATTTGTGATTATGCCGAATTATTGTGTTTCTGCAGGTTGCGCAAACTCGAGTCTGTCAGGACATCGAGTCCACCGTTTTCCGGACAGAAAAAGGAGTGGAGTTAGTTTTCGTGCCTGGGTGCGTTTTGTGCAGGTGAAGAAGCGCGATTTCACGGCTTCATCTATGACCAAAAACGCGGTGGTGTGCAGTGCTCATTTTGGACAGGAGGATTATGTTCCTGCCGGAGCCCGCCCGCCCTCGCACATACCCTCGAGGCTCGCGGCCCCGCGCCTTGGAGACCCGAGCCTCGGGGGTATGTGTGGGGTGGACGGGCTCCGCGGAGAGGGAGTCCTCCGTGTTTGAGACAGCAGCGGGTGGCGTGAGGGTTGATGGGCAGTGTGAGACATGTTATGTCTGGTCTGGGGGTCAGTTTCTCCACCAGAGCCTAGAAGGTATCCACCTCCCTGCAGCACATACTCTCCACAGCTGAGGACATGGCCTGGCAGTTCCCACACAAGCACCTATCATACAAAAAATTATCAGGAAATCTTCGTATCTCTCTCTCTCTTTCCCTCTCCCCTGCGGACGTGAATACACTGTAATGCGGAGTTATAACACGCATAGCAAGATACATCTGATACAAGCTGATATTTGCGCATTAGTTTCTGTATGGGTAAATAGCATTAGTTATCTAATACTGGCAGAACTATTGGTAGCTTTGTTATAACCTAATACGTGATGGCAAACTTAATGTTGTGATGTGAACACCAAGACACCTGCCAGTTCTCCACTGGCACCACAGCTCTATTTCTCTCCTGTGGCCGTTATTTCTCCTAACCCTGATCTGTTCCTGGTCTCTTGGGCGCCTAGCAAGCTCATAAGTATAAGCCTGTGGGCCGTCATATGCATATGAATGTACATTTTCAACCTCTTCAGTCTCAAAACTAGTACTGGGATCCATGTTTATTAATGATACACTCAGTCGAACTCTGCCGGACTCCCTTATGCTACGTCACTTCCAGTTAGTGGGTTTTTAGATGCGGAAGCAAAATTCTCTCACAAAACGACCCCAAAAGTCACTGTAGTGTGTATATGTTTTTGTTTTTTGTTTTAATCAAGTTTCTACATCATTTACCTACACATTTATTCACCATGGTCTCCAACCTGCAAATTAGGCTTTAAATGACTTTTACCTGAGCTTAGATCTCTTAAACACCATGCAGTTAGGGTCTGTCCCAATACCCCCCCTTAGTCCTACCCCTTGGCGCGTTCCTGCGAGGGGTAGGGGTGTCCCACTTTCTTTTTGCGTGTAGGGGTAGGGGGCATAATGAGGGGTAGTGGGTATGAAACTAGCCCTTCGGAGCGAGGGATTTCAGATGCTGACTTGCCAGCGAGGGGTAGATGTCGCCATGGCTACCACCGAGCAAGAGACGGGGAAAAAAGTTCATACATAGCTAACGTTACTGTCGCTAGGTTGCTTGTTAGCTAGCTAGCTAGCTCGCACTATCTGGTGTCTGTTATCTGTCCTCTTCTGCAAAATTGTCAGATTTTTCACATTACAATAACACGCCAGCTCGTATAACTATGCTGCCTTGTAATGTTAGCTGGTTAGCTAGCTAGCTAGCTAGCAGAAGTCCCCTGTCGTCTGTCGTTCATCAAACGAAGCATGATGAATACAGCAAACGCAGTAGGTAGGATGAACTCAACCGGAGACTCCATTGTAGATGCCGGTTGGAAATGTAGATGGCTTGCAGCTTCCTGTTTAAAATAGTAATTTATGCCTGAATGTAACCAACGCGGTGACATAGTGAGTGGTGGACGGGGTATTGGGATTGGGCCTTATTCTGATAAGATACAAACTCACTAATAGGCCGTTAGGTGAACACAGTTACTGTTTCATCTCGTTCCGACATCTGGGGACTACACGATTTTTACTTCATAAAAAAGATTGATACATGTTCAGCTAATCAGCGGGAGTTCATAGCTCATAACCCCGCGAGAGTCCTGTGATCGGGGTCGTAATTCGGCACTTGTTCCGTCTGAGCGTATTGATCAGTTCCGCCTGAGCGTAATGAGATTTGGTATGCGAGTGGTGGCATGGCCGTCACTTGATTGCGCTACACCAATAAGGTATCTGCATTTTGTGTCGCCATGGTTTCATTCAGCAGAGTGAAACAGACCCGGAAGTCCTCAAAAGTGAGTAGAAATGAGCTGAAGCAGCGCTATTCACATCGCCGTGTCCATGAAACACGATGAGACAAATAGACAATAAGGTGAACTAAGCAAAAATGTCTTAAAACACATTTGATTCAATACCTGGGCATAACCGACGTATTATTACATTGACAGCATAGCTACAGAAGACGAGAACGGCCATGTATTTTTTTATTTTTTTGTGTGCACTGTTATCTCGTGATAATGACTTATTATTTTGTTACCTCGATATAACAAAGATTGTTTTCCCGTGATAATTGTCAAGTCTGATGATTGTGCACTGGTTAATGTGATCATCGTGATTTCAGCCTACAAGAGCTGCCGTGGTCCTGCTAGATGCCTCCTGCTGCTTGCTGTTATCATTAGTCACACTTCTACTGTTATTATACACATATGATTATTGTCACATACCGCAGGCTATATTTCCAAATAGTCGCCGGGTGGCATACAGCCGCCAGGCACCTAATAGCCGCTGGGGGTTTGCCCCCATTTTGCGTATTAAACGCTGGGGCGTTATTATTTCCTCATTCATTGCCTCAAGGAGGGACAGCCATGCAGGCAGGGAGAGAGCAGCTCGCGAGGGCTGCTCTCTCCCTGCCTGCAGGGCTGAGGGACTGTTTGCGCTTTAACGCACGGGTCGGTGGTGAAGTGGCGCACATGACTCGTGCTATGGACGGACAGACGGACGGACAGACAACCACATATCTAAAACTCCTCTGGTAATTTCATTAAAAGGCATGGCATATAGGTCCACAGTAGCTTATTGTTATTATTATTATTATTATTATTATTGGGTCTTATAAGAGTGGGCTATGAGTACCAGACCATCAGATCACAGCATCCGCGGTGAGAGGACAAGGAATTGTGTGCGCTTTTACGCACGTGAGTGTAAGTGATCATGGATATTTGATGTAGGAAAGATGTAGCCAGATGTATTACCTGTTTTAGATACGTGGCTGTCCGTCCGTCTGTCCGTCCGTAGCATGAGTCATGCGCACCACTTCACCACCGACCCGTGCGTTAAAGCGCAAACAGTCCCTCAGCCCTGCAGGCAGGGAGAGAGCAGCCCTCGCGAGCTGCTCTCTCCCTGCCTNCCACTTCACCACCGACCCGTGCGTTAAAGCGCAAACAGTCCCTCAGCCCTGCAGGCAGGGAGAGAGCAGCCCTCGCGAGCTGCTCTCTCCCTGCCTGCATGGCTGTCCCTCCTTGAGGCAATGAATGAGGAAATAATAACGCCCCAGCGTTTAATACGCAAAATGGGGGCAAACCCCCAGCGGCTATTAGGTGCCCGGCGGCTGTATGCCACCCGGCGACTATTTGGAAATATAGCCTACGGTATGTGACAATAATCATACGTGTATAATAACAGTAGAAGTGTGACTAATGATAACAGCAAGCAGCAGGAGGCATCTAGCAGGACCACGGCAGCTCTTGTAGGCTGAAATCAAGACGATCACATTAACCAGTGCACAATCATCAGACTTGACAATTATCACGGGAAAACAATCTTTGTTATATCGAGATAATGAAATAATAAGTCGTTATCATGAGATAACTGCACACAAAAAAATAAAAAAATACATGGCCGTTCTCGTCTTCTGTAGCTATGCTGTCAATGTAATAATACGTCGGTTATGCCCAGGTATTGAATCAAATGTGTTTTAAGACATTTTTGCTTAGTTCACCGTGTTTCATGGACACGACGATGTGAATAGCGCTGTTTCAGCTCATTTCTACTCACTTTTGAGGACTTCCGGGTCTGTTTTCCTCTGCTGAATGAAACCATGGAGACACGAAATGCGGGTACCTTATTGGTGTAGCGAAATCAAGTGACGGCCGTGCCACCACTCGCGTACCAAATCTCATTACGCTCAGGCGGAACTGATCAATACGCTCAGACCAAACAAGTGCCGAATTACG